TACAGGGATAGAAAGAGTGGTTATATGTTTATATTCCTTACTTCTAGAACAGCTGACTCCTAATTTTTACTTTATTTTCTGTTATTTTCTTCATTTTCTCTGTCCTGCCATCTCTGTTAATGGCATATGTCAAATAAAAAAATAAAATAAAAAAAAAGAATGCTGCTTTGAGAGTAGCAATCAAAAGCATTGTTTGAAAAGTGACCAAGATAATTTAAATAAGCACCCTGGAGATCAACTAGTTGACACTCTTTAAGAAACCATGACTGCCTCAGCCTTACTAATCTCTTTTCTTATTACTCATCAATTCCAAATTCCCTTAATCTCCTAGCCTGACTAATGTAAGAGTTTCCAGAATGATCTGTCAAAAACACGTTCTTCTTCATGGTACTTCTTGCACACCTGTCACAATTGCTTTCCCTCAGGATTGTACAGAAGGCATGATCACAGCCCCTATGAAGGACGTTTTTTTCCATCCTTGTCTCTTTATTAGATAGTACCCAGAAGTGCCCCAACAGACTTTCACTCAATACTCACCGGCCTAGATTATTCTTCAACTGAAGTTGGCAAGTGACTGGCAAGAAAAATTACCCTGTTTGGTCATGATCAATTACAATTTACACCCCAGGACTGAGAAGGGGGTTGATTTTGTTTACTTATCACATGGAAGAAAAGTCCAAATATTATAAAGTCTCACCTAAAAGAAGGGATCAAAGAAAACAAAAATGAAAAAGAAGAGGGAGGAGGAAAGCAAGAGAAGAAAGAATAAAAGAAAGGAGTGAAAATATCTTTGGGATAAATAACCAACAGCATCTATCTACAGTTTTATAAAGACAATTTCAGTAGAGGGTAAGATTTAAAGTTCTATTAAAGCAAACATGGAGGGAAATTAGATGAGGAAATAAAGACAGTATACACAAACTATATTTTAATGGATATTGATGTACATGGAACAAAGATATATCCAATAGTTTACAGAGAAGAATACAGGGTCAAAGAAGTTTGAGTTAGTTTTAGTTTTGTTTTTAAGATAGGTGATATTGTGGCATATTTCTAGGCCAATATGAATAATCCTGAAAAGGGAAAGAAAATGATAAAAATGTGACTATTACAGGATCCAACTCCTGGTGAAAATGAGATGGAAAGGATTTAAATTACTGATAAAGAGTTTTCTCTTTGCAACAGAAATAGGTACAAACTTTTAATAGAAGGGATAAGTCAGTAGCTGAATACAAATGCTGAAAGTTTGATTGAATTGTTAGTTGGAAAAAAATGATAGTTCTTATGCAATTATATTTCTTTTCTTTCTGAAGTGAGCTTCAGTGTTACGAAAAGAGAGTAGGCAGATAGAGATGTTTGAAATTTGGGGAGAGAGGAGAATGTCTGAGATTCTCATAGAGAAAGGAAGTGCATTTTCTTGAGAAATATTACGGGGCAGCCTAGTAAAGTTGAGATTTTTAGCGTATCTTTACTGTTATAGCGTTGCCACAGAAGAAGTGGATAATTTGGTTGGGTGAGTTTGGGGTTTTGTCAGATAAATAGTATAATGGAGGGAAGATGAAGAAAAGGAGTTAAGGGTGCTTTTAAAAGAGTGTTACAGTACTAGCCCATGAAAATTTTAGGCTGCATAGGGGAAAGAGATGTAAGAACTGAGTAGAGGTGACAGATGGTGAAAAGGAGTCAGGTCAATAAGTTTAAAGTTTGAATGAGGTCAAAGAATGTTTGTTTGGGGAATATAAAAAGAAGTCACTAAAAAGTTGAAGGTGTGCAGAAAATGGTCAGAGAAAAGGGCTGGAATTAAAATTTTGAAGGTGCTATAACTACTGGTGATGACAAGATGGCTGAACTAAAATGCAAAAATGATAGTTGGGACACCAGGATGTGGGATGGACTATTCACTTCTTGGACTCATCACTTATTTGCTGTTAACCTTGGATAAAGTATTTCACATCTATAGTTCTTGGTTTCTTCATCTTAAAAAGGAGGATAATAATATAAACCAATTCATAGGGTTGTTGTGAAATCTAAAAAATGTTCATTATGTAAAATGCTTTCAGCAGTGCCTGGCATATTGTAAGCATTCAGTAAGTGTTCCCAGTTAGTACTATTTGCATTTATATCATGTATTTATTACTTTATTTTTAAATGGTGAAGTTCCTGAATATTTTAAGTATTCACTCTATAACAGGGATTTATCTTTTTAAAAAGATAAGTTCTAAGCACCTATCTTTTCAAAAAATCTCATTCAATTCTCACAGCATCCTTACTGGTAGGTACTATTGTTATACCCATTTCATAATTTAAGCAACAGGGCATAGCTAGTAAGTGACACAGACATGCTTTGAATCAAATCAGTCTGCTTCCAGATTCTCTGTCCTGAAGCACCATCCTATGCAGTGATTGACAGTGGCATAGGTGAATTCAGGTGATGAGAACACAATGAACGAGGAGAAGACATTTGGAGGGAGAGATATGAAAACAACAAGGAAGGGTAATGGATAATGAAGTCTATGACATGCACATCAAAGAACCTGGGGTTTTGAGGGAGGAAGGAAGAGAGACAGCCTGGAAGTGACAGTGGGGAACAAGGCTTACAACACACACAAGCATTTCAAGCATTTCCGACCAAAGGACAACATGAAAAAATAGCTTCAAATTTGGTCATCTAGTGAACTTGGCAGTTCCTTAGGATTCTGTCCTTGTCATTGTATTTTTATCCCAGGGAGAGAAAGTTCTTGTGAAATTCTTGTCCTCTACCCAATCTTGCTAAGAATCATACTCAGTTTAGGGGCAAAGCTATAAGGTTAACCAACAGGTTACCAAGATGATTTTTTTTAGTGACTCTCAGACCAGTTCCCACATGAAAGCATTGTTTTAAAAACAAAGCAAATTATCAAATGTGGGGACTTTTCTGGTATGTGAGATATTGCAAATAGTGTAATTATATACAATGTTCCTAATTCCATTTACTTACATGACAGTTTAAAAAATCAGTCTATCAACCAATCTAATGCTTTTCATAACCACGTAGCTGTAGATGAGGGATTAGCAAAGTGCAGCCAATGAACTAAATTCAGTCTGTCACCTGTATTTACATGGCCTGAGAGCTAAGAATTACTTTTACAGTTATGAATGGGAGAAAAAAAGTTAAATGACTAATAATATTGCATGACATGCAAAACTTATATAAAATTAAAATTCTAAATGAAATAACTAAAATCTCATTACAAATTAGCATTAACAGATAACATTTGCAAAAACATTTTTGATCACTTTAAACCCAGATTAAATAAAATGGTTTCCCCTCAAAGAGTTCCATTCTTATCTTCCCATTACAGAAATGTGTGTGTGATTATTATTGTTTTGAATTCCATCAATAAAAATCTTTTTTTGCTATATATTTGTCATATAATCACCTACACAATATTCACGATTTTATCTTTAATCCTGAGATGCTTAAGATGTTTGATATCTGGACTCTTACAGAAAAACTTTGCTAATTTTTGGTCACAAATAATGAGTAGACACAGTTTATGTTAGTGTAGGTATTATCATGTGAATATTGTGAATGTGATATGTGGGTGTCTGTGTATAAATGTAGCCATCTGATCACATATTCATTCCACTCACAGACATTTATTGAGCTCCTATGCCAGAAACTGTCCTGGGTGCTGAGAATACAAAGTTGAAAATAGGTAGTCATTGCTCTTAACAAAACCAGTCTTATTATTTTTTGTAGTGGTAATTTTGATAAAACTTAAGAAGAACAAATAATTTCTACAAAATTTTCTTTTAAATGAATATGCCCCTTTCTTTCTCCAACTCAATTGCCAGCTATAATTAGTTACTGAATTTTATTATTTTATAAAACATTTGATGAATTCACTGATTTTCAGTCTCAGCTAGAAAATTGGAGTAGGCAAACAAGACATCTCTCTCCGACCTAACTCCATTGGAGTAAGGGTCTTGTGACCTCTCTCTGCTATGCTTACCCCCTATTATGTTATTTGAATTTTTGAGGGGGAGTGGCGGTGCCTGGCATGCTACTTGGATAAAGTCATCCAAGGTCTGTGTCTCCGTCAAACTGAACTGAGCATTGTCAGTTATCATAGCAATTGTGTTGCTCATCAGCAGAATTGAGACTCAAAGCCATTTCCATACTTTTCAGTAGCTAACCCTTATTCTTTTCTTTCTAAATTGTCTCTGACATCAATTGCCCTGCAGGATTTCAGTTTGGGTTTAGGGGACTGAACAACCAATGAATTCAGGCTGTTCTTATAGCATGCAACCATAACTTGTGTTTAGTTTTCATAACAGAATCTTATCCAAAACCGTCTCAAAGATGCCAAAACCAATCTGAAACCACTTCCTAGGTCCATTGCATAACAAGTGGATGTGCTCTTCCCACCACATGATGAAGGGCACTACGCATTTAGATAGCTGATCATTTGAATGGTGAAAGTATTTGTCTCGCTGTTACATTTAAGCTACAAAACTTGCAAGATTTCTGGTTCTACATTGTTTATTGAACACTTTTCTATTCACATTCATTGCTATTCCTTCTTTAATGCCCGGGAAGAGTCTATTGCTATCTCTTTTCCCTCACATCCTAGAGTGAGCCTAATTCAGGAGCCCTCACTTTTAAATGTACTTCTTAAAGTACAGTGTTACTCATTGGGAATGTTCTGCCGTAGTTTAAAATTACCTTTAGTAAAATTTTGCCGTTTTTCTTTTTCCTTTTTTTTTTTTTTTTTTTTTGAGACGGAGTCTCGCTCTGTCGCCCAGGCTGGAGTGCAGTGGCGGGATCTCAGCTCACTGCAAGCTCCGCCTCCCGGGTTTACGTCATTCTCCTGTCTCAGCCTCCCCAGTAGCTGGGACTACAGGCGCCCGCCACCTCGCCCGGCTAGTTTTTTGTATTTTTAGTAGAGACAGGGTTTCACCGTGTTAGCCAGGATGGTCTCGGTCTCCTGACCTCATGATCCACCCATCTCGGCCTCCCAAAGTGCTGGCTTGAGCCACCGCGCCCGGTCAATTTTGCCATTTTTCTAAGTGTTTGCTGCTTCCAGGGCCTAATACTTACACATGCAAATGCAGGCATAGCCAGAAGGTGGAGAATTCAGTTCTTCAGAAATTAAGGGGTCTCATTTTTTATGTTGAATCTGGACGTTGGCCCTCAGATACCCTTGAGCAACTTAACCAATGATTTTCCCTACCTAAGCACATAAGAAAAAGATAGAAAGAGAATAGAACACAAAAATCCCCTGAATTTCCTAAAGCCAGAGTTCCCAGCCCCTGCACTATTGCCATTTACTTCCAGTTTCTGTTTGATCCAGTCAGGCATCTGAGGCCTCTAACTGGACCCAATCTAGTTAATGATCAGATCCAGTACAATCATGGACCCAGTCCAATATCTGTCATAACTGCTGAACCCTGTTTAGATCTAAAATTTGCTCAGACTTGGAAAGCTCAAAATACAAATCCATGCAGCTTTGGAATCAGAGAACTTACCCATGATCCTCAGGTGCTACCAGAGGGCAGTGGACACAGTGGGCCTGGCAGGCATCTCACTTGGTGCTCCTGGGAGCTGCTGGGAGTCTACTGCAAATCCCACTCTGACATCTTCTGCAAGAAGGAAAACATTAGACAAATTAACTGAGTTTAATTGAGCAAAGTACAATTCAAGAATCAGGCAGCTGCCAGAATCAGAGATGCAGGAACTGCCACAATAGGAATTTCAGGGAAGGTCGAGGACCTGGGGATTTTCCTCAGGTGGTGCTGATGGATATCTTTTAGTTTACCTCCTGAAGGAAGGCAATTTTCTCAGAATTTATTTTAGAAGGTTTTAGTGCCATTAGAAGTAAGTCTCCTACTCAATTTGCCTGGTTCTAAAACCAGCTTTTTCCAATTGTATAAGCAAATAAATTATTTTAGGCATTTCAAAAGACCTCCTGGGGGAAATATACATATATTATATATATTTACAAATATATAAAATATATATATAATATATATAACTTTTGTGGAAGTGGGATATTTGGGAATTCAGGCTTTTACCTACTACCTACAGAACAAGAAATAAGAGAGAAAGAAAAATGAGTATTTAAGGGTTGCTTTGACAGAAATAAAAGAACCAGGGGACACAAAGTTTTTTTTTATAACATATAAAATGCTTTTTTATTTCCCAAGTGTCCTGTTTCCCTAGCTCTGTCAAACACGATTGAGCTTATCTGCCTGGGAAATAGCAGGGCTATGGAAATTCTTATTTGGTTCAGCAGCCACCTGTTACCCCAAATGTCTTCTGTGGTAGCAATGTTGATTCTCTGAATCCTGCATCCATGAAAAAGAAGTGCCCATTCATTTCCTTTTATTTTACAAATATACAAAGCTGGAAGGTTGTGCTGTAGCCAGAGCACACTGTACAAAGAGGAGAGTTTGGCAATGCTGGAATAGGAAGGAATAAAATAACAAATTTAAGGCTGGAGGGGAAAGAAATTGGAGAAAAAAAGTGAGATAAAAATTAAGTGTGGAGGGAGGGTGAGGGTCACATCTAAAACTAATGGCCAGAGACCAGATTATGCAAATTATTTCAGGCAGCTCCATACTCTGCTCCACCCAAGCACCCAGCCAATGAAAGAACATTTCTTTAATTGATTTTTCATGTCTCTAAAACTACCAGAATTATCTAAATTCTTTAATGGTATAAAAAAGAGATATTTTAACTTAATGAAATCAATGTGATGCTATTTTGATAAGAAAGTAATACATGAAGTGATTAATAAATTTGGGAGTTTCAGTTGAGCCCTAGCTATACCCACTACCATCAAAATAAGAGCCTTCAATCAATTATATTTAGTGCATTCCATGTTTCTGGGAAGACATCATCATGTCCTCACCTTCGACATAATCCTTAGAGCCATTCTAGACTCCTCTGTCTCTTTTACCATCTCCCCAAGCTTTGGCATAAGAAATTACTAATACAGGTAGTATCTGTTTCCTCAATATCTCTCAAATCTGTCCTCTCCTGTCTATCCACACTACCACTACTTCAGCCTAGGTCATCCAATTCCTCATCTGGATTTCTGATATGAACTAAGTGGTCTTGTCTCCTGACTATGCTTTAAAGAGAGAATTTGCTAAACTGCAAATCTGTTCTCATCATCTTCTTGCATATCTTTCTTTGGGGTCTCCCACAGCCCTCGGAATAAAGCTTACATATATCCCTATCCTTACAGGACATTTCCTTAATGGCCTTTCCAGGACAATCCTCTCATGTCTTTAGGGGCTATCCATGCTATGCCATAGTGACATTGCTTCTAACGTTTTAAGCTGTCTCATGCCGTTGGAGCTTTGTTGTGATACTGGATAGTCTTGACTATTCATCTCATGAAACTGTGTGTTTCATAAGTGTAGAGACCGTGTCTTATTTGTTGTTGTAGCCATGGCACCGGGCATAGTGTTTGGCACATGGTAGAATGAGGCAAAAAACTGGTAACTTTTAAAACAAATTGACAATTTTAAAAGGAAGAAGTGTTTGTGAGCTGGATACAGGTACCATAGTCATGACTGTGAAGCTATCCCTGACCATCCTAAGAAAACATAATGCTCCTGAAAGTTTGGGCCAATGGGAGAAGGCTAAGGTGGATTATGGTCGCCAGAAAAAAGAAAAAATAATAAATGCTTAAAAGCAAACTGTCTACTGCATAATTTTGCAGAGGGCTGGCCCTGATGTAAGGGATGGCTCAAAAGGAAATTACTGCCCGACACAGGAGGAAAGAATACCAATTATTTTTCTCTTAAGCAGGGCCAGGCCAACTCAACAGAAAACCAGAGAGGATGGGCAATGCATTCCTGGAAGGAAGCTACTGGTGCTGGTGCCATCAGCCTGGTTGACAAAAGAGACATGATCTAGGAGCCACCCAGCTGAAAGCTGGTATACCACAGACAGACATGCTTCTTGGAAACAACCTCTGGCCATCAGGAATTCAAGCTTAGCCTCAACTTCTCAGATGGAGCCTTCTAATTTTCCTTTTCCCTCCCCTGTGCTTCTTCCAGGAAACCTGCCTTGTCCTCTGTGGTAGTTGTGAAAGATCAAACGTGCCTTTTACCAAAAAGCCAGGACTTTCATCTCCTCCCAGCTCCTTTGCGTGTATCCACATGGGATGGCTCATACAGGGACACTCCTAGGACCTGACATGGGGCCACCTCTACTCTATGCCTATGAGCTTTTGTGTGGAATGAGAGTACACGAAGTCAAGGGGGAAGACCAGACCCACTAGTCTAAGACAGTAAATAATTATAGAATACTGTGACCATGAAACACACCACTTTGAATAGAATTTGTCTGTGATATATTTTGAGCCAAGACAATTTTTGCGTGCTTCTATGCCACTTCTTCATTATGTTACTCATGCTAAGAACTAACTTTAACCAAAACATTACCAGGAGAATAAGGCAAAATCAGAAAAAAAAAAAAAAAAGAAGAAAAAGAAAAAAGAAAAAACAACAACACATGGCCTACCCAATTAATTGAAAATTTAAAAATAGTCATTGAAATAGGAGAAAGAGATCTGACTCCACTTTGCTACCTAATCTCTTCTCCCAATATTCCAATAAAGTTTCCAAACTTATCCAGACATTCTCCATCTGCTTCCCAAGAACACAATGTGTATCTTTTCAGTGGGTTTCTTCTACATGCCTACCTCCTCCATTCTGCCCAGTTGTACCAGTGCTTATAACCATTACAGCATAAAATCATTCCTCTTCCACTCTGTCTCCCCCATCATCTACCTTCCTTCTGGAAGGTAGGGATTTGTCTCCATCATCTCAACTTGTCATCATTAGGTCACTCTTTCCTTCTAAACACCACCTCCTGTGCCTCACTGCTGGACTGTCACCATGGCCAGGGATCATGGTGTAATTCAGCACATAAAAACCAATGCACAAGTATTGGTTGATTGTCTAATTTGGCTGATTCCATGTACCTGAATACAAAACATTAGACATGGCAATATGTTACGTGTTCAAACTGTGTGCTCCATGTACACAGTTTATAAATAAGACTGTAGGGACCATGTCTTATTTATTGTTGCAGCCATGGCACCTGACACAGTGTTTGGCACACAGTAGAAGGAGGCAAAAGACTAGTAATTTTTAAAGCAAATTGACAATTTTAAAAGAACAGAGTGTTTGTGGGCTAGGTACCGAGATTACAGTCATGACTGTGAACCTATCCCTGACAGTACTAAGAAAACATGATGGCCCTGAATGAATATAAAACATGTCCAAAGTTTTATCTTCAAGTACACTGTTGCTCCTTTCTGAAACCTTCATTTTCTCACATTAACTTAAATACTGCATGCAGATGGAGGATTTTGTCTACCCATGAGAGTTTGATAAAATGTCAACCCATGAGAGGATTACAAAAGTACAGATGTTGTCAACCCTGAACATAATTTTGAGCTTGGGGAAGCAGTGACAATGTGGTCTAAATGATTCCTCACTCATGATGCTCACAGAAAAACATTCACAAAGCTCAATCAATAGCCCCAATGAGGCTAGAAAATCAGGGTAATTCTGGAAATAGAGAGACCATAGGGTATATACAGAATAGCCATTGATGGATAATATACTGTTTTTATAAATCATAGGGTTTCTAGCCCACAGAACAACTCGATTTCTTTGACTAACCCACAGTATTTTTAGCCATTGCACTGACAAGTTCCATGTCTGAATAATATTCCTCTTTTGCTTCCTCAATTCTTCTGTCTTCCTTCCTTCCTGCTGTGAGATGCTGTGTCTACTGTGTCTTGCTAAATCACTACCATATTTACTTGTGTTTTTTCTGCCAACATGCTCAAAATCTGTTTTGTCCCCATCTGGGGGAAAAATATAACTTGAAAAAAGTAAAAAGGAAATTGTGTCTCTGTATGAATAGATATATTCCACCGTATTTTCTACCTCATTTTGAGCCCTTCCTGGTTACTAGGCATCATTAAGCAATTAACACATATTATCACATTTAAAATTCACCACATTCACAGTTTAGGTACCTGTTATTACCTTTAGTTCAATTTATGAAGAAATGGGCACAGAGAAACTTTTCCAATGTCATTTGCTAGTATATTGTAAAGCCAAAATTTGAGCCTAGGTCAGTTCAAACTTTTAAGTCTTTGCTACTAATCTTCTATGACTTTGAAGTCTGGATCCTCATTTGCCATTGCTCCCTCCAATTCTGGACATGCTCATCAATTTCAAAAGAATTCTTGTCTAATGAAATTGTGTGTCACATAAGAGCACAGAAATCATAATGATATAACTAAGACTGAAAGAATTTAAATGACTTAATGTAAGATGTTAAAGCTATTTCATGCCATCTCAAATCAAAACTAAGTTTTTCCTGTCTTTCTGTTGTTGTTTTATCCTTCTTACAACACTGTGACCCTTATATTTTTCCTATTTTTTTAAGAAACAGAGTCTTCCTCTGTTGCCCAGGCTAGAGTATAGTAGTGCAATCATAGCTCACTGCAGCCTCAAACTGCAAAGCTCAAGCAATCCTCTTGCCTCAGTCTCCTGAGTAGCTGGGACTATAAGCAAGCACCACGTCTGGTTATTTTTTAAATTTA